GTTTTCTCATGTCTTAAATAGAAAAATCCCAAGATTTACAGCTTAAATCTATTACAATTCCAAGATTTATTGAACATTACAAACGCCATTTTCTTTATATTTTTATAGCGCTTAGCAATATTTAGTAATTTGCATATGTGTGAAAGATTTAAGGATTTTCAAAATACATATATACATATATATAATTTTGTTCTACACAAATTGATAATGCAACTAGTTAAATACGGTTAAAGCGCTTTTAGGGGAAGGACCTAGTATGGGTGATATGACCAAATATAGACCGATCGTAAAAAATTCTTTAAGCTAAATTTCTGTACATAAAAGCTATATTTCAGTCAAATTTTGTATCTATATCGTAATTTAGTAATAAGTAATGTGTGTATAAGTGATTTTCTGAACAGAACCTAGTATAGGACCGAGCGCACCCATGTTATGAACCGATCGTGAAAAAATCTTGAAATAGAATTTTTGTATACAAAACTAATATTTGTGCCAAAGTTTGTATCAAAAGCTTTATTTGGTAATGAGTAATGTGCGTTTAAGAGATTTTCGTAAAAGGACCTTGTATGAGAGCTATGACGAATTATATATAAAAACAAAATTTCAAAATTCTGTATCTATATCATTATTTGGTAATGAATATTGAGCGTTTAAGTGATTTTCGGGAGGGGACCTTGTATGGGAGCTATGACCAATTATGGACCGATCGGAAAAAATTTTCACATTAATATTTTTATGCATATGGACAATACTTATACCAAATTTTATATGAATATCTTAATTTGGTAATGAGTTATGCGCGTTTAAGTGATTTTCGGGAGAGGACCTTGTATGGGAGCTATGACCAGTTAGGGACCGATCGGAAAAAAATTTCTCAGTAATATTTCCGTGCATATAAGCAATACTTGTACTAAATTTTATATGGATATCTTAATTTAGCAATGAGTTATGCGCGTTTAAGTGATTTTCGGTAGGGGACCTTGTATGGGAGCTATGACCAATTATGAACCGTTCAGAAAAAAAAAATCACAGTCATGTTTTTGTGTATATGAGCAATACTTGTACCAAATTTTATATGGATAGTTTAATTTTGTAATGAGTAATGTGCGTTTAAGTGATTTTCAGGAGGGGACCTTGTATGGAAGCTATGACCAATTATGGACCGATCGGAAAAAACTTTCACAGTAATATTTTTATGCATATGGACAATACTTATACCAAATTTTATATGAATATCTTAATTTGGTAATGAGTTATGCGCGTTTAAGTGATTTTCGGGAGAGGACCTTGTATGGGAGCTATGTCCAATTATGGACCGATCCAGAAAATTTTGTCTCTCAATGAATTCTATTGATATAAGATTTTAATTTGTAAGATTTTGTGAAGATATCAACATTGTGACGGAAGTTATTAACAAAAAACCCATTTTCCGGGAATATGTACTTCGGAATGGGAGGTATATGAAATTGTGGACCGATTCTAGAAATTTTCAGCAGGGATCAAGATCTTGTGTAGAAATGTATGGTGATTTCCATGGAATTATCTTACATAGTTTTCGAGAAAATTACATCAGAATGTGTAAAAAAAAGCTTATTTTTTTCGAGGTTGTTTTAAATTTTGATTCATAACTTTTCCCGGTGTGAACCGATTTTGCCCATTTTCAATACCAAACAACTTAGGAAAATGAAGAACATTTTGGGTGAATTTGGTTAAATTCTATTGCTTCGTTTTATCGTGAGCGTGTTTTACACAGACAGACGTACAGACGGATATAGCTAAATCGACTCAGAATTTGATAAGGACCCAGAATATATATACTTTGTTGGGTCTCAGATGAATATTTCTTGGTGTTACACACGGAATGACAAAGTTATATATACCCTTATCACCACTGATGGTAGCGGAGGGTATAAAAATTTCAAATAAAAAAATTTATATACATATTTTGTTATTTACAAGAAAACCTAGAAAGACAACTTGAACATTTAAATGGAATATTAGTTTTATTTTAGAAAATTCAAAAATGACTGTTCGATTTTATTGTTGCGTTTTTTTGTTGAACATTTATTAACATTTGATTAAAATTTATGGGCTGTTTTAAAAGCGAATTTGTTAAATTTTTATGATACGTTAATTAGGTGGTGGTTGTTTTTAAATTAATGATTTTGCATAAATTTTAAAATATACACTTTACTTTTGTGTATATGTCTCTCAACAAAAAACATATTTTATAACTTTTTGTCTACTAAATAAAATGATTAGTTTGACAATAAGTCTTTTGTTTATTTAAAATTGTTTTTTTTTTATTATTATTATTTCCCCAGAAATTGTTGATTTTGTAACTATTGTTATGTAAAAGGGTTAACATGTTAAAAATAAACTTATAAAATCATTAATTTATGTGTCATAAATCCTAAAGAGTGGGTTTTTTCTACAAAAAAGATCAAACAAAACATGTTCATTTTATATTCAAAATTTTAAAGTTTTCTGTTCCATATTTTGACAGTTAAGTAATAAGTTTATTGTTTACATTACATTTACATTATAATAGATTTAAAACTCCACATGCGTCATTTGTGAAACATCCCTTTTATTGGTAAAACTTTTGTATTATGATTTAAAGGTTTAATGGCAATTTGACACTTTTAGTTGTCTTCCTAATCATAAATATTTAAACAAAAATACATAAAAGCTAAACAATTCATTAATTTAAAAAGTTTGAACATAATAAATATTTCATCATTATTTAATAAAAAATGAAGTCAGCACAGCACGCCCACCTAAATCTATGATGGAAAATTTTTAATTTTATATAAAAAAATTCAAATAAAAATTCAATAATTATAAAACTTGCTACCGTCAGCTACACAAATCAAAAAATACAAACATCTTAAATTTTATATATTTTCCTCTTTTTGGTAAATAAACTTAAAATATTTTTAAAAAATGTTTTCAATTTATTTTCCTCAGCATTTTTCCTTAAACTATTAGCTTCATTACAAAACTATTACAATTTTCTAAAACTACATTACATTACCTTTCCAGTGATATATAATAAGTATTATATTACTACAATGCCTTATGATAAAATAAGTAACAACAAAATATACTCTTTAAAAAATCACTACCTTTAGCTACACTGACTAAAAGCTGCTTACTATGCGCTTCTCATTAATACATGTACCAACTGCATATTGTTTTCTTGATACATACGTTAAGAAGAGGCTTAAGGAAACTTTTACTAACGTGGAATACGTATTTTAGATAAATGGTAAAGACGTATAGGGTGTTCAACAAATGAAATTTGGTTGTTACAATTTTTTTTTAGCAAAAAATCGTAAAAATATAATTTTAGTGAAAATTTTTAGTAAAAATAACATTTTTAGTGAAAAATCAGACCTTAACTGATTAATATATAAAACTAGAATTGAATCAGAAAAAATCTTTTTTTTTGCGAAAATTCGATTTTTAATGAAAAACAATATTTTAGAACTAGAACTGAACTAGAACTGAACTAGAACTGAACTAGAACTGAACTAGAACTGAACTAGAACTGAACTAGAACTGAACTAGAACTGAACTAGAACTGAACTGAACTAGAACTGAACTAGAACTGAACTAGAACTGACTAGAACTGAACTAGAACTGAAGTAGAACTGAACTAGAACTGAACTGGAACTGAACTGGAACTGAACTAGAACTGAACTAAAACTGAACTAGAACTGAACTAGAACTGAACTAGAACTGAACTAGAATTGAACTAGAACTGAACTAGAACTGAACTAGAACTGAACTAGAACTGAACTAGAACTGAACTAGAACTGAACTAGAACTGAACTAGAACTGAACTAGAACTGGAACTGAACTGGAACTGGAACTAGAACTGAACTAAAACTGAACTAGAACTGAACTAGAACTGAACTAGAACTGAACTAGAATTGAACTAGAACTGAACTAGAACTGAACTAGAACTGAACTAGAACTGAACTAGAACTGAACTAGAACTGAAGTAGAACTGAACTAGAACTGAACTGGAACTGAACTGGAACTGAACTAGAACTGAACTAGAACTGAACTAGAACTGAACTAGAACTGAACTAGAACTGAACTAGATCTGAACTATAACTGAACTAGAACTGAACTAGAACTGAACTAGAACTGATCTAGAACTGAACTAGAACTGAACTAGAACTGAACTAGAACTGAACTAGAACTGAACTAGAACTGAACTAGAACTGAACTAGAATTGAACTAGAACTGAACTAGAACTGAACTAGAACTGAACTAGAACTGAACCAGAACTAAACTAGACCTGAACTAGAACTGAACTAGAACTGAACTAGATCTGAACTATAACTGAACTAGAACTGAACTAGAACTGAACTAGAACTGAACTAGAACTGATCTAGAACTGAACTAGAACTGAACTAGAACTGAACTTGAACTGAACTAGAACTGAACTAGAACTGAATTAGAACTGAACTAGAACTGAACTAGAACTGAACTAGAACTGAACTAGAATTGAACTAGAACTGAAGTAGAACTGAACTAGAACTGAACTAGAACTGAACTAGAACTGAACTAGAACTAACTAGAACTGAACTAGAACTGAACTAGAACTGAACTAGAACTGAACTAGAACTGAACTAGAACTGAACTAGAACTGAACTAGAACTGAACTAGAACTGAACTAGAACTGAACTAGAACTGACTAGAACTGAACTAGAACTGAACTAGAACTGAACTAGAACTGAACTAGAACTGAACTAGAACTGAACTAGAACTGAACTAGAACTGAAGTAGAAATGAACTAGAACTGAACTGGAACTGAACTGGAACTGAACTAGAACTGAACTAGAACTGAACTAGAACTGAACTAGAATTGAACTAGAACTGAACTAGAACTGAATTAGAACTGAACTAGAATTTGTTTAACGTTTTGTGGAATTTAAATTTTTATTTAGCTTTTCACTGAAACACTTTTCCTCTAATCGAATTTACATTGATTTCTGTTTAAATTATTTATCTAGTAAAATCACCACATTTGAAGCACTTGCAGTCGGTAGGCTCACGTAAACGAATATCCATGGTGGCCATATCTTGAGAAGTCAATCTAGTACCATCAGGATCGTAGCAATGAGAAAGAGTAATGATTTTTTCCTTCAGAAAACTTTCGCGACAGCAATAGCACTCCTTTGAAAAGGGGGAAAAAGTAAACATTTTATAAAATATTTGTTTAGAAACTCATAGATGGGCCTCACTTTCAGAAACCCCGTTGGTGTTATGACCGAAGGCTGCACTTGACTGTTACACAAACCCTCACATTTATTAACAATAACATCGGCATTGCAGGTACGTTGCATGCGACCTAATTCATCAAATTCCTCCTTAATCAAATGTATTTCCGATTTAATGGTTTCACAATTTTCATCACCAGTCCCTTGATGATTATAACGTAAAGCTTCAGTCAAATTATTTATGGCAAATATGATATAAATTATAAAAATATTTAAGGAAATTCTAAATAACTTAATCATTATGCTAAGTTTTGCTATGAGATTGATTCAACGTTGACACAATGACTATTTTCCGTTCAACAGGAAATGAGCCTTATATACTCCTTATAAGATGTAAAGGAATTATTGATTGTTTTTTTAGATTAGAAAAAATATTACTTATATGATTAAAAAGGTTTTCATTCTTCTCCTTTTTTTTGCCAAATGTAACATTATATTTATGATTATATTGATTGAATGATTGTGTTCCACGCAGCGGGTGCTAATGATTTTTACATAATGAATTATTAGTTTTGTTAGAATTATGGTTAGAAATGACATATTTTACTAAAAGAAGTGAATTATTATAAGAAACTACATATAAGTAATAAATTACTTTAACATTGTTACAAGCAAAAAAAGCAGTTGATTCATGTCTGCCTGCTATTGAAAATATTACTTCATGTAACAGCCATTTGAGCAGCCCTGCTAATATGCATCATTAATAAAAAATTCATTAATGTTATAATACAATGTTGCACATATATTTATGCAGCACCTTTCAGCAGTGTAAAGCAAAAATACACAACATTAGCATTGTTGCCACAATTTTGCTGTTTGCAGGCACCACAACAATAACAGCAACAATGAATTTTAAAGAAATTAATTTCATTTAAGTGGAATTTATGTTATTTAATACTTGAAAAGCATGCACTTAAAAAAATAAATAATAACCAAAAAAAAAAAAACTAAAAATAAATAAAATACAGAGCATGGCTGACTATGTGATACCCTACACTAGCTATAGGTATTAAATTTTCCATATATTAGAATAAAATACAAACGTATAAAGTTTGTATACAAACATCAGAACGTTAGACTATATATTTTTAATATAAATATACAGTCCACATATAGTCTAGTGTAATGTCTAGGCTACAATCCATTGTGCAGGTCAAAGCCTCTTCAATAGTCTGGACTACAGTCTAATCTAGAGTGCATAATATATTCCATAAACTAATGACGGGTAGCCATCTTGACGCGATGCGAAAGCTTATGTGTGATGATCCATGCAGACAGTGCTGGTAGGGCTACCCATGCCAGAGGGGCTCATGACGAGCACATACTAAGAACTACCCCACCCATGACTGGTAGCGTCTGTTTCTCCCCGATGGGGCGGCTACCAGTCCAAGTACTTGTCAAAAGATCTCTACTCATCCTTCGGATGAGTATCTTTTGACAGAATCTTATCATCTGGATATTATATCGCAAAGGATGGAGACTGCACTCAAGTCACTCAGCACGTGGAGCAACGTCAGTGGCCTTGGTGTAGATCCATCGAAAACGGAACTTGTTCTCTATACTAAGAAGTACAAGATACCCACCTTCACTCTCCCACGATTGAATGGGCTAGAATTGAAGTTATCGGATAGTGCTAAATATCTGGGAGTAATCCTGGATTCAAAACTATCATAGCATTTGAACACTCAGTCCAGGGTGTCAAAAGCGGCTGCGGCCTTATACTCGTGTAAAAGAGCAATTGGTAAAGCATGGGGCATAAACCCAAAGAATATCAAATGGCTCTTTGACATGGTAGTCAAGCCCATACTATTGTATGGTGCACTTGTGTGGTGAAAGTCTGTACAAAAGTACTCGCACCGTAAAAGTTTTGAGGGAATCCTTCGTACATCAGCTCTGTTGATAACGGGGGCCCTTCGCATCACCCCATCGAAGGCTCTCTTTGTCATGATGGGATGGCTACCTATTGATCTAATGGCCCAAAAGATTGCCCTCAACGCGGCTATTAGACTCAACACAATTGGTATGTGGCATATGATTCAGTCAGGTCACTCTGCCTAGGAGAGATTCCTGACAATATAGACTATTGCATCGTCAAACCGTCTTTAAATTTTATATATTTTCCTCTTTTTGGTAAATAAATTTAAAATATTTTTAAAAAATGTTTTCAATTTATTTTCCTCAGCATTTTTCCTTTAAACTATTAGCTTTATTACAAATTACTATTACAATTTTCTAAAACTACATTACATTACCTTTCCAATGATATATAATAAGTATTATATTACTACAAAATATGCCTTAAAATAAGTAACAACAAAATATACTCTTCGAAAAAATCACTACCTTTAGCTACACTAACTATACGCTGCTTACTATGCGCTTCTCATTAATTAATGTACCAAATGCATATAGTAAATAAATGCTTTGTTGTTGTTTTCTTAATGCATACGTTAAGAAGAGGCTTAAGAAAACTTTTACTAACGTGGAATACGTATTTTAGATAAATGGTAAAGATGTATAGGGTGTTCAACAAATGAAATTTGGTTGTTACAATTTTTTTTAACAAAAAATCGTAAAAATATAATTTTTAGTAAAAATTACATTTTTATAAAAAATAACATTTTTAGTGAAAAATCAGAACTTAACTGATTAATATATAAAACTAGAATTGAATCAGAAAAAATCTTTTTTTTTGCGAAAATTCGATTTTTAATGAAAAACAATATTTTACAACTAGAACTGAACTAGAACTGAACTAGAACTGAACTAAAACTGAACTAGAACTGAACTAGAACTGAACTAGAACTGAACTAGAACTGAACTAGAACTGAACTAGAACTGAACTAGAACTGAACTAGAACTGAACTAGAACTGAACTAGAACTGAACTAGAACTGAACTAGAACTGAACTAGAACTGAACTAGAACTGAACTAGAACTGAACTAGAACTGAACTAGAACTGAACTAGAACTGAACTAGAACTGAACTAGAACTGAACTAGAACTGAACTAGAACTGAACTAGAACTGAACTAGAACTGAACTAGAACTGAACTAGAACTAACTAGAACTGAACTAGAACTGAACTAGAACTGAACTAGAACTGAACTAGAACTGAACTAGAACTGAACTAGAACTGAACTAGAACTGAACTAGAACTGAACTAGAACTGAACTAGAACTGAACTAGAGCTGAACTAGAACTGAACTAGAAACTGAACTAGAACTGAACTAGAACTGAACTAGAACTGAACTAGAACTGAACTAGAACTGAACTAGAACTGAACTAGAACTGAACTAGAACTGAACTAGAACTGAACTAGAACTGAACTAGAACTGAACTAGAACTGAACTAGAACTGAACTAGAACTGAACTAGAACGAACTAGAACTGAACTAGAACTGAACTAGAACTGAACTAGAACTGAACTAGAACTGAACTAGAACTGAACTAGAACTGAACTACTAGAACTGAACTAGAACTGAACTAGAACTGAACTAGAACTGAACTAAAACTGAACTAGAACTGAACTAGAACTGAACTACTGAACTAGAACTGAACTAGAACTGAACTAAAACTGAACTAGAACTGAACTAGAACTGAACTAGAACTGAACTAGAACTGACTAGACTGAACTAGAACTGAACTAGAACTGAACTAGAACTGAACTAGAACTGAACTAGAACTGAACTAGAACTGAACTAGAACTGAACTAGAACTGAACTAGACTGAACTAGAACTGAACTAGAACTGAACTAGACTGAACTAGAACGGAACTAGAAACTGAACTAGAACGGAACTAGAACTGAACTAGAACCTGAACTAGAACTGAACTAGACTGAACTAGACTCTGAACTAGAACTGAACTAGAACTGAACTAGAACTGAACTAGAACTGAACAGAACTGACTAGACTGACTAGAACTGAACTAGAACTGAACTAGAACTGAACTAGAACTGACTAGAACTGAACTAGAATGAACTAGAACTGAACTAGAACTGAACTAGAACTGAACTAGAACGGAACTAGAACTGAACTAGAACTGACTAGAACTGAACTAGAACTGAACTAGAACTGAACTAGAACTGAACTACGAACGACTAGAACTTGACTAGAACTGAACTAGAACTAGAACTAGAACTGAACTAGAATGACTAGAACTGAACTAGAACTGAACTAGAACTGAACTAGAACTGAACTAGAACTGAACTAGAACTGAACTAGAACTGAACCACCAGAATTGAACTAGAACTGAACTAGAACTGAACTAGAACTGAACTAGAACTGAACTAGAACTGAACTAGAACTGAACTAGAAACTGAACCAGAACTGAACTAGAACTGAACTAGAACTGAACTAGAACTGAACAGAACTGAACTAGAACTGAACTAGACTGACTAGAACTGAACTAGAACTGAACTAGAACTGAACTAGAACTGAACTAGAACTGAACTAGAACTGAACTAGAACTGACTACTAGAACTGAAACTAGAACTGAACTAGAACTGAACTAGAACTGAACTAGAACTGAACTAGAACTGAACTAGAACTGAACTAGAACTGACTAACTGAACTAGAACTGAACTAGAACTGAACTAGAACTGAACTAGAACTGACTAGAACTGAACTAGAACTGAACTAAAACTGAACTAGAACTGAACTAGAACTGAACTAGAACTGTTTGTGGGACTATAATCTAGATCATATTTGACTACAGTCTAGTCTATATTTTAGTCTAACTACTGTCTGTCTTTAGTCTTGTCTATACCTCTACCCTTTAGCTTCTGAATGCCTCCATTAATCTAATGTAGTGTGCAGAAAAAAACAACAACAATTTAAATGACTTACAACAAAAATATGAAACATATAATAAAAAATTTATAACAGCAACAAAACACACACACACTGTTTGGTACGCAAGCATAAACAACATTGCAACAAGTTCGTTCAACTATTAATTGTGGCATGTTATGAATGGCGTCACATGAATGCATTCAATTACATGTTCATTTTTTCGTTTCATGTGGCAAACAACACAGTAACTAAAAAAAAGCAAAAAAAAAAAAAAAACTAATATTGAAGACAAAAAACACTAAATAAATAAATATTGCTTGCGGCCTTCTTAGTCAGTGTTGTTGCTAATATGTTGCTGTTGTCGTCGTTGTGGCCATTTGCAGCAGCTACTGCTTTAAGCATAATGTATATAATTTAAGAGTTTTTTTTTCGTTCCTCTTACTGATGTT